ACTAACATCCTCGGGTTCTCCCTTCACGACTGTCTTCTGCCCGAAAACCATATTTGAATGTTGTATTCTTGATTGCCTGTCAAAGGACACCTCAGGTCAAATCAACTAGCCGGCGGTTGTTGAAAACAAACACTACGTTTCCGGTTCCGGTATTTTCAAAACAAACTTTCAGTGCTTCTTGGTTGTTTACTTAATTATTATTATTATTTAGTGAAATCAGTCAGCAATAAACTAAACAGATTCACAGGGACATACACATTATTTACAGTCAACTTTTAAAATTATCCTTCGGCAAAAAAAAAAGAAAAGAAAAAGCAAGCATACATGGTCAAGAACAAGCTTACTGCTGCCATCGTGCGTTATAAAGTGGTACTAAGGTAGCAAAGATTATGAGTGACAATGGAGTGAAATTAAGAGTGAAATTGTTTTGAAGGGAAGTAAAACTATGAAGTGTTTAAACTAAGTATTGTTTTTATAATAATCTAGTAAATATTAAGAAAAATCATAGAGAATGTGGTTTGTTTATTCATAATTCATTGCATTTATAACGCTTACAAAACTTTGAATGCTTCTTGTCAATCTCTGAGCATCTTGCAAGACACCTCTGCTGAATTGCACACAAGCTGGGTTCCTGGTTCTTCTGCCTTTTCATCATGACATGCTTAGACCTAAAAACAACTCACTAGAGAAATGATGACTAAACCTTCTTAGACAAGGGAACTTTGAAGCTGGAGATTTGACTTCACAGCAAAAATCTGAATCCACTCTCTCCATGAACTCTACATTTTTGATCGACAATAAAAAAAAATGAAATTTTATTCTAAGTCAATACATACATTAAAGTTAATCAATTACTACAGTGTGACACCTTTACTTTCTACATAAAGCACATAGAGATCAGAGTCTGTTGTAATAAGTAATTTATTTCCACAGAGTCAACACATATTGATCTGTACCTTTACAGACGGTACAGAGCAGAAAGTTTTCTTCTTCACACAATATAATTTTTTTTACTTGGAAACAAATTAAAATCTTACTGACCGTCCACGTTGGCAGAATGAATTTGTTTTTTTCCCTATTTGGTTTCTTTGTTGATTGGGATTTAAAGAGTCTGCTGCTGTTTGCAGTGGTTTTCATCATCACTGCGGATTATGTTAAAAACCGCCGACCACTTGGCTTCCCTCCAGGACCCAGAGCTCTACCAATTGTGGGAAACATATTTACATGGGACCAAAGCAAGCCCCATGAGAAGCTGATTGAGGTATGGAATAATCTTAGACTGTAACCAAACAGTGCTAGTTTAACAAGTATTATTTGTTTGTTTCCCTCTTACCCAGCTGGCAAGGACTTATGGAGATGTATACAGTCTAAGATTTGGTCAGAACTGGGCAGTGGTGTTAAATGGATTTGATGCTTTGAAGGAAGGTTTGGTTGTAAATGGAGACAGCATGGTGGACCGCCCCGAACTTGCTTTGCAGGACGAAATAGGAGGCGGATTAGGTAGGATAAGGATCCTTAAAATTAGGCATGAATGTGCACAATTGCAATTCTTAATACTCACCAAAAACATATGTATATTATGTGTTGTAAAATTGGATCAAATAAATACAAAGCATTCATCAAAGTTTCACAAATAATAATAATAATGATCATTATTATTATTATTATTATTATTATTATTATTATTATTATTATTATTATTATTATTATCACTATTATTATTATCACTATTATTAGTAATAGTAGTAGTAATATTACCTTTTTCTTTGTCATCAGGTGTTATATTCAGCAATGGAAACATTTGGAAACAGCAGAGACGCTTTGCACTTTCAACCCTCAAATACTTTGGGTTCGGGAAGAAGTCTCTTGAGCCTGTCATCCTGGATGAATTCACACATTGCGCAGAAGAGATCCGAGGGTATAAAGGTAACCCATTTAGCGTTCGGAGACAGTTTCACAAGGGTCAGCTGCTCTATTCACTTGACATTTTTTCTGCTAAATTCTGAAGGAAAGCCTGTGAATCCACACCTCGTTATCAACAATGCTGTCTCCAACATCATCTGCCAGCTGGTCTTTGGTCACCGCTTTGAGTACGGGGATGAGAAGTTCATGAAACTGATGCTGCTGTTTGACAAGGCACTCCAGATTGAAGCTTCCATTTGGGCACAGGTACTTCATTTTAAAGCTGCTGATGAAATGCAAATGTTACCTACCAAGACTGAGTACAGGTAACACATTCTAGTTAGTAGTAGTAATTATACGAGTGGTAGTATGTTACTGATACGTATATGCAATTGCACATGCTGTAAGTGTGCCTACAGCTGCAGGGATGAACACGAGAAAGAGAAAATAGTGTAGTAACATTTTAATGATGGTCAGCAAAAGTCAGCTATAACGTCTACCACTTCCTATTAGTCCTGATATTAATTAGCCCAGTCTGTCCTTTCAATCTATTCTTCTGTTCAGCTCTACAATTCCTTTACTCTGCTGATGAGATTGTTGCCAGGTCCACATCAGACCGTCAAGCAGATCTGGGACGATGTGAAGAAGTTCATACGAGAAGAGCTGAACCAGCACAAGAAGAACTGGGATCCCTCAAACAGCAAAGATTACATCGACTGCTACCTGCAGGAGATTGAAACGGTGACTGATAAATACATTTGTTGTAGCAATCAGTCCTAGTGCAGGAGCACAGATCTACTTTTAAACGTGTCACCATAACTTTGAGCATTGCCAGACTGCAACCTGCAATTTAATCATGTTCCAGATTTCAAACAGCTCACTTGTACATTCCTAAAATTAAAGATACAAGTTTGATCTGGGTGGATGTTGCTGTACTCTTGTTGTTTTTTTCCCCACATATGTCCACAGAATAAACCGCAGAATGACAACACATTTGATGAAGAAAATTTGATCATGTGTGTCCTGGATCTGTTTGTGGCTGGATCGGAAACCACATCCACCACCCTGCGATGGGCATTTCTCTACATGGCTAAATACCCTGAAATCCAAGGTGCAAAAACTCATCCAAATAATGATCCATTAGTAACACACAAACACCCTAAGTCCCTGAGTTTCTATGTTGCTGAGTTTCCGAAAGTTACATCCAACAACCTGAATGTGAATTTTATTTGCACAGAGAAGGTCCAAGCAGAAATAGACAGAGTAATCGGACAGTCCAGACAGCTGTCTATGGAGGATCGTACCAACCTTCCCTACACAGATGCCGTAATCCACGAGATCCTCAGGATGGGCAACATAGCCCCTCTCGCCTTGCCACACTCTACCAACAAAGAAGTCCAGCTAGGAGGTTACACCATCCCAAAGGTAACTTCTCAAAAGGCTGTAGTGAAATTTTATGTTACAACCCTTATGGTGTAAATACTTTCATTTCATATTCAACAGAAAGTGCTGATAATCCCGAATATAGCTTCAGTGCTGTTTGATAGGAAAGAATGGGAAACACCTTTCACCTTTAACCCGGGACACTTCCTGAACGAGGAGGGCAAGTTTGCAAAAAAAACAGCTTTCATCCCTTTCTCTGCTGGTAAGAAGTCTAAACAGCCACACATTGTGTTTCATACCCTATAATGCATGTTATAGGGCATTTCATACCCTATAACATGCATTATCTTTTTTTACAAGCACAAACCTCAATGTTTCTTATTGGAATTCCTATATGACAGATTGACAAATATGGCATATTATTGTAAATAAATATATATATTTTGTGTAGTCATATTTAAATGTAGAAATGTCAAAAGTGGTGTGCATTTGCATTCAGCCCCTTTTACTGGGATACCCATTATTAAAATATATGCAAAAAAGGTGAAGACAGTGAACACAGGTTAAAGTTGTGAAGAGGTTTAAAGCAGGGTTAGGTTTTATCAATTCATAGAAAACTATCCGCTCATCACCTACAAATGGAAAAATTACAGCACAACTGCAAAGTTGTAAAGACATGTTTGCCCAACCCATTATTCAGATACTTAATTGCTGCTCAAACATCCTCAAAGATCATTTGATGATTGTAATGATTGTACTTTTCATCATGCACTAAGTTTGTATGTTTTATAATTTATATTGCTGGAAACTGAGAAGGGCATAAACGTTCCGTAGAGTGATTTGGGTTTTCTATTAATTTTAGAAGATTGTGTACTGACACCGGCACCGCCTCTCTAATTTTTCTGTCTCAGGAAAGCGTGTGTGTCTGGGAGAAAACCTGGCCAGGATGGAACTTTTCCTCTTTTTCACATCCTTCATGCAGCACTTCACTTTCTCAATGCCGGCTGGAGTAAAGGTTGTGATGGATTACCGTGCAGGAGTCACTCTGGCACCAAAACCATATGAAATATGCATAACACCACGCTAAGACCACGTTTTCATTATTTTAAAGAAACGCAGGAGCAACAAACATACCTGCCATCCCCTCCTCCCCACAATCATCCCTACACAAGTCAGAGTAGTCAATTTCTGCTGCATACTGTGAATTTTTTTTTTTTTTTGAAAATGCAAAACAAATCAATGACTACACCTAGGCTTTCAGAGGCCACAAGCAACTCTTCTGTTCAAAGATTTAAAAAAAAAGACAGACGTTTTATGAATGTAAAGGTAGAAAAACAAAAAAAATTAACGTATGTTTCAGAGAGAGAAGATCCAAGTGAAGGAGAACCCCGTCAGCATTTTTTAGAGAAACTAATAGGGACATGGCAGTACAGAAAAGGTTTGCATAGCTGCTTCATTGCAACAGATCTAAAGGAGTCAACATTTAACATTAATTAATTATTTGTATTAATACAGTGTATTTTGCTTATTTTGGTTTTGCAGTTTTAAATTGCTTGCTTGTTGTGATTTGAAGCTCTACTGTTCTCCCAGAAGATATTAAAAAATGTATTTGCTTTACTTTGAACTGAACCCACTACGTTATTGCATTAATGTCTGTTCTCCATTTCTTTTAATTTTAATTTATTGTATTAATCTTCATTTTAGTTTATGTTTTAAGCTTTGTTCAGGGTAATTCATGATGCTTTCAAAGAAAAACAGGCAATAAGACACATTAGAAACACATAATACTTTGGAAATTTTGATTTTAGAAAATAAAAAATTAAGTGCCATATAAAAGTAACATTATGTGGAAATACAAACATATGCTAAATGGTACATAACAGAAAAAGATGGAGGGAATCTTTCCGTTTACTTGTGGTAAACAGAAAGATTTGCAGTTCAGATTTCAACAGACCAACATTTTCTAAGTAGGTTTTCACGGAGTTGGTTTCAGGAAGGAAGGTATAAAGAGCACCTTCCTTATGGTCCAGGTTTAATTATGGTCCAGGAAACACTGAGTGAACAGGTATCTGATGATCTCAGTGATGTACATTTTTTATACCTGACCAGTACCTCTGAAATACATTTAGGCCAAAATTCATTAAGTGCTTTGTAATCCATTGAAGCAATTTCACATTTACAAATCTTGAGCAAGGTCTTGCTTTTCAGTCCTCTTTCTTTTTTTTTTTTTTTTTGCCTTCAACTTGTCGTGCAGAAACAATGAGCCTAGCTCAGCATGCTGGCTCTGTCCTGTTGTGTCAATACCACCAACGGATGAATACATATAGATTTGGCCCAGCTCTGAATTAGAAAAATGACCTAAAATGGTGTTTTTTAGACCCAGCAGTTTAAAAAAAACTGCATACGTTACCATGGTTACTGACCCTGGTAAGTGAAGCAGCTTCAAGATTGATTTTATTGAAATTCCCGAACTGACTCAGACTGACTCACTAATCCTGCTACATCCCCCTCAATAAGAGTCGGATGTTTTTAGCATGTATTGAAAAGTATACTTTGGCCCTTTCTGCAAAAAAATCTGCAATAGCTGAAATTATCCCTTGGTAATCTATTTAGGCAATTACTGTCAAATACTAGAATTTTCACCTAAATGAAGTGCTTATCAATCCAAACCACCCAAGTATGGAATAACACAAATTCAGCACTGTTGGTCATTCGAATGAAGCCCAGAATTATACCAGTTCTATGTTTGTCCAGTTTATGCCCATTAATGAATAAAATATTGATTACAAAATCAAGCAAGACCACTGTATGACTAAATGAGGAGAAACTGTTGACAATATGTGTTTATTTTTGAACCGCGTTGGCAGGTCGTTGCAGCCTGGAGAGATTCCACATGATGTCACTCGGATGAATTTTCTGCAGTCGGTGAATGTCTAAACAAATATCTGCAAACTCTCTTTCGACGTTGCATAATGGAGAAGTACTTGCTTGAATCGACCATGAGCTACTAGCTATGTTGCTCAGCAGCACAGAGTGCGAAGATGTTTTGCATCCCCTTTAAACGACGGAAGGTATAGACCTGATTCCAGGTGTTGGTTATCTGCTGATTTGACTTAAATCCCTGATTTACACTTGATTTGATCTGAATTCATTTGTACTTGTTGCAACTTTTTTTTGTGAAAAGATACGATTATCCTAGTTACAAACCTGTTTTCCCAACTTTTAAACAGAAAAAACGTCAAACGGATGCATGTGGAGATGATAAAATCTCTTCTCTGCAGAACAGGTAGTACTTAATGTATTATGACAATCCTAACTTGTTCTCTGATGATTTTTCATGTTATTTCATTTTCCTGCAAATAAAAAAAATACTTTTAGCATTTTATGACCATCTTGACTTGTTCAATTTTATAATTAAAATGTGAAATTCACTGTCCATTGTTCTTAGGAGACCAAATACATTCACCTATTTAACCTTTTATTGCTAATATCAGCTTGCAGACAAATGCACCATTTCCCAAAACCTCCTGGTGGCTCTGTGTTCCTTATAAGAAGGTATGTTTGCCAGAGCAGATACATCACACAGAAATGGTTGTAAGTTATGAGACTCACCACTGTCTGACGAAGTTCATGTGTTCTGAAGAAAAAGAAAAATAAGACCCATTTCAATCAAGATGTTGTCGAGTTTTCAATTTCGTCAGCCTCAGTGACAGAAAAGAGGTAAAATACAATTTCAGTCAAGTTTTAATTTTAATCATTTGTAGTTCTATTGGTGCTATTGCAGTGTATGCTGACTCATGTTTCCTTTTGTCACTAGCTCCAGCACAAAGTCACAGGATGCAGAAGTTAGTGTCGGGGTCTGGGTATATCCTTCTTCTGACAGTACTCTATCTACTTATAATGATTACGAGACTCCAGATTCGGTCCAATCACGCTTCACCGAAAAAACGTATGAATCTGTTTAAGTTATTTTCTCCAGATTCAATTAATTTCAAAGGAAACTTGACAAAAAAATGCTCAACTGATGTTGAGTTATTTTTCTATCATCCTCAGAGTGAATTGATAACTTTGTATCTTGGTTTCTGGACATACTCAGTTTTTTGTATATTTTCTTCATCAGAACAAAATCCACTGAGGAACTGGAAAGTAGTGAAGACAAGGATCTGGATAGTTCTCCTGCAAATTCCACAGAAAGAGAGATCCACACTGCAATACCAAGACACCAGTGATGTCTAGTTTAACAAAAATACTTTATTTGCAATATATTTACACACACATATATATATATATATATATATATATA